TGAACAGAATAATACGGGTACGACTGAAGATTTCTCCAAACCGTTGCAGCAAAGAACTTGTGCAGAGAATTCCTACTACAGCAAAGTTAAAATCCTAATTCAACTGATCGCTGAAAGTAGCAAAAAGTGATGGTAATAATGCGAAATGAAATTAAAAAATAGTACGTTTAAAATTCATCCCATAATCAGTTCGGAATAAGCATATGCAAAAAGTACCACAAGCAGAGTGGCATACTGTAATAAACAAAGGACAAAAACCAAAAATGAAATTAGAAATTTACAATCTTTCGCTGCATCGTCATCGGGTTGGGGCAATGAAAGAAGTAAATAAATGAGCCTATTTCTGAAAACCAACAAAGGCATAAACTGAAATTTAAAACATAAAATAATCAAAGTAATCTGCATCTTTATCTGTCCAACCCCTACAAGCCCAAGTAAGCGGTGAAAACAATTGCAAAATTATAGCTTCAAAAACGTAAGCAAATTTTAGAAATGTTCAAAATTTTTATTTTGAGCAGAGCGAGTTTAAAAAAAACACCTGCAAATATAATCAATTTAACAACATAGGCAAAACAAAAGAAACATATGTAAATTTTGAAACGTCCCCCTTCAGATTGGGCTAGATACATTTAAAAATTATAGCAACAAAACCATAAACATGTAAAAAAAAAACTTAAAAATTCTAATAATAATAATAATTTTCAATTAAAATGCATCGAGTCAGAAGAAACATGTGAAACAGACACAATTTAATACATGAAAAATAATAAATCAGTATTTTGATTCAAAAAACATAAAATAAAAAATAAAGAGGAGTTGGTCCTAGAAATCTGTAACATTACAACAGCAAAAGTTTAGAAAAAATATTGGATCTATTTAGTAGCTATGCCTAAAATGTGCTGTTATTAATTTACTATAGATAAACTATTAATTTAAAACTGCGGATTTAACTGATTAATACTTTTGAAAATATTTAGAAAAGAACCTCTATTGTACCATTAAATATGGTGTAAATATGGTAATTTGTGAAACGGAAAAACATCGAATTACCCGTTTTATAAAACCAGAGGAAATCCAAAAGTAACCGCCATGGATATGGTGTATTTAATTATGGCAAAGCACACTAGGGCTATCTGCCTAAGGGGAGGGATGCCTTCGTGGAGGACTATCTGGCTCGTATACACGTTACACATGGGGAAAACCACGAAAACGCCCATGCAGCCAGCCCGTTCGCGGGATTCGAACCTCGGACTGAACTACCAGTTTTTAGCGACTTTACTGCTCGGCCACTGGTAGGCTCTAAGTAACCGCCATAGAATTAGGATTCCAGAGAAGCATCAGTTTGCTTCAGTTGAACGAATGGAAAAAGATGAAGTGTTTAATTAAAACGAATGGTTTAAGCTATAGTGTTTAATACCACAACAATTACTTTTTTTAATTCAGTGAGGAAGGCATAATGCAAAACTGAAGAAGCTAAAAAGTTGTAATAAAGTTAGGAAAATATCTAGTAAACTGGAAGCTAAGTTACAAACAATCTTAGAGAATGCCAAAGAGAAATTTAGCAAAAATGTAACCTAAAATAGATTAAAGACAGAAAACAAAAGAAATTGCCAAATGTTACACAAATTAGAACTCACTCCAGCGGGGTTTCTTGAGACTCAAAAGCTGAATTAGGCCCATTTTGTTAATAAAAAAAGAGATAACTATTAGACAACCCAAGCTAAATAAAAGCTAATGTAAGAGTTTTGACAAGAATGCCTGATTTAACTAAATTAAGAATTGCAGTATATACCACATAATCGTTTAGGTATAGTTTTTAATGAATAACAGCACTTTGATAATGAAAATAATTATTATACTGACAACTGTAGTTTAGTTAGCTTTTTTTTTTAATTAAATGGAATTTTGTTATCTTTTAACATTTTGAGTAATAAATTAAGCTGTTTCTTAAAATCACTACTCTTATTACAAACACTTTTATTCTTTTTGTTTGATTAATAATAAGGTTAGCAATAATTATTCTGCAGGTACGATTTTCAATTAATTAATTTGAAATTGAATCTTCTTCTTTCGGCACATAATATATTATTGTTCAGATTGTAAATCTATAAGTTAAGATAATCTGCTTTGGTGTCATTTTTGTTAGTTTTAGAAAATTTAAGTTAATTTTAGAATAGATATTTGTTTTTCACTTTCATTGTACTTATCAATAGCAATAATGTCATCAGTGTACTTGTAGGTAATTTTAAAAAGTTCTGTTTTATGATAATTATTAAGAAAATTATATTTTTTAACGAAGAGGTACAGATTACAGGTGGCAGTTGAAGAGTTGGTTCCCACAGGAATATCGTTTTTTTGTAGAAAAGTTTTACTTTTATAGTAAATAAAATTGTGAAAAAGGGCATGTTTAAGATAAGAATCCCATTTATCAAAATCAGTTAAGCTTTTAATGCTAGGAAATAAGTGATAGAACTCAATTAAACTATTGTAAATTTCATTAAGAGAAAAGGTGATGTATAAATTCTCAAAATCGTAGTAGTTAATGTTGTTATTATTCATTAATACGTGTGGTTTTTAATACGTCATAGTTTTAATACCTCTTTGATTATTGTTGATAATCCAGTTGTTAGGTAATTTAGTATTAGTTTGCTTCTGAAACTCAATAGAAACATTTTTGAGAACTTTGGTAAAATTTATATCGATCCAATTTTTTTGGTAATTATTAACCACATTAGCTTTAAATCTGAATTTCATTGGATTTATAAGAAATTTTGGAAGGCTTACAAACTGCAGAATTTATTACAGTGAGGTTTACTGGTAATTTTAAGTTTTTGTGAAATGTTTTAAATCTATTATTAAGTGTGTTTTCTTAACTTTTAGAGATCTGGTAAGTAATCTTCTTATTAAGTTCATTTGCTAATAACTTCTTGATAAGCATTTTTACAAATACTAAAATCGCTACGAATCTATTGACACTATTTCGATCAGGAGTGCTCAGCTAGTGAGAAATTTCATACTATCAGGAGGGGAATGCTATCAGCCTTTTAACTGACTGTTAAGTATTCAATGTGGGTTTATGAATATAAAAAACTATTTTTATTTAAGTTTTGGTACTTATCAATATATTCTATACTTTTTATAATTATCATTAATAGAAATTTAAATAAATGTAAATAAATATTTCGAGTTTTGGAGGAGGGGGAATGATCGTTTAGCAATAGTGAAAGGGATGCATAGGACAAAAATGCTGAGAAGCATTGGCTTAGACAATTTTTTTTTTTTTTTTTTTTTTTTTTTTTTTTTTTTTTTTTTTTTTTTTTTGTAAGCGGATGTTCAAAACTTATTCCATAGCTGCTGTTTCCGTTGGTTCCGAGACATGCAAATGATTTACCAAATTTAATGAAATTAAACATATTAATTCTGAATATAATGTACATATACACGTATTTATTAATTGTTAATAAAAATAAATGTAATATTTCCAAGAAAATCTGATGTGTACACCACATGACTTCCTTGTACGGAATATTAAATTATACGCATTTTTTCTTACATTTTATTTAAACTTATTAGATTGAATTAAACCTACTTCGCCGACAGCGCATAAACCACAATAGAATAAATGCATTCTTTAAAATTCACTTTGTTTACCATAGCGACACTCTGGCACTAGATTTACTTAACAGTATTATATTTCATTCATATTATAACTCAGAATGCACAAAATGTATCTCATTTAAAGAATTATCTAATCGTTGCCACATGTTCTATTCAAATACTATAATAAATCTAGAACTATGTATAAAAGAAATTAAGCAAACTAAACAAAAAAGAAAGAGTTTTTCACAGACGATTGAGTATTTCTCATTTAATTAATTGGGTTCTCACTTCGCGAGAAGGCAAAAAAACATAAAAACTCAAAATATCTATATTAAATCTATATTAAAAATTACGAAGTAAATCTCAAACGCTTATTTCCTCGAAAAAATTCCAGAAAGAATTAAGCATGATTTAATTGGCAATAATAAATGAATGCGTTATCTTTGTTGTTGCGAAGCTAAATTTCTCTAGATTGGCAACAAATCCACTAGTCTCCTGTTTCAAATTTAAACATCAATGGCCGCCATTAAAAGCAGGCTTAGCGGTAATTAAACAACTTTAAAATTGCTGATAATTCTAAAAGTATTGCACACAGATTTACTAAAGGCATAAAATCCTTAACCGAAAGATAAAAACAACATAATTCAATCATTTTTAAAGCAAAAATTGTACAATTTACAAACATATAAGCGTTAAGAAACTGAGATCACTGAGCCGTGTAATAGAGTGGATATATATATAAATATATTTATATACGTTTGGTGCGGCCGATTGCAACCAAAATACGAGGTGCACATCTACATGTTATAGCAGTTCTATATACAAAATTTCAACGTTCTGAGGCTACTCGTTTTTGAGTTATACGAGATACATACGTACGTACATACGTTCATACAGACGCCACGAAAAATTCTCTTCAGAATTAATTTTAAAGCAGTTTTATAATTTTTTTGAAGGAAAAGAGTATTTTATTCTGTCCTTACGTACAGATATCACGCAAAAACATCGTTAAATTGCATTCGATAGCGGTCAAAATGGATATTTTCGTTGAAATATGCTGCCTGAAACTTTTCGCGATTACAATACTTCCTTTTTACTTCGTACAAGGAAGTAAAAATTAGAACTGATTCTAATTTCTAATAATTTAACTTTATGATTTCCTGTTCTTTTATAATTTCCTTTACAATTCTGTTTTAGAATGCAAGAGTTACTAAAATTTACTTGAACATCCGCATCAGATAGGCAGTTATATCTTTTTATCTCTCGTGAGGTTATCACTTTTATTTTTCATTTTCAATTGACAATGATCAAATTGCAAAACCTGTGTTCTGAATAGTGACTAGAAACTACGCATATTTCCCACGTACGTGATTATCACTTATTCACAGCTATCTTGTGGGATTTGGTGCCACATTTTATAAGAAGTTAGGACTATAAAAGTGAATTATCTCTCCTATGAATTGCCCATTCTTTGGATTAAAAACACAAGACGCGCGAGGAAATATGAAAGTCTTCATTTTATTAAGCATCATAGCCGTGGCTATTGCCGACCTAAGTAAGTTCCTTGTCTAAAAATATAGATTTAATTGTAATTCTTTTTATTCAAGCAAGTTGCCTTTAATATAAATTAAAGAATGCAAAATAACATTCATCCTTATTGGCAATTATTCTGAATTGTTTTTCGTAAACTTACTACGAATGGCTTTGGCATATAGATTTTTATAAGTTTTATTCTTATTAGCATCTACATTTGTAAAATATTCAAAATTTTTACAAAAAAAAAAACACCACTGTTCTACATCTCTGTGTATTTTGAAACAGATGGGCATTTAGGCAGTTTCTAATTTAATTAGATGTGCATAGTCAATTAATAACCGCTATTAAAAAAGACTGCAAAAATAAAAAAAATTTAACAGAAAATTACTATTAATAATTTAACTCTTTTTTCAAGCAGTTTAATAATTATAAACTTTTTAGTTCATTCATAGAGTTCGTCGCTATGGGCAAAAGTCTGTCATCGATTTTTAAACTACTTCCTGAAAATAGATCGAGCTCATATTTTGTACACACATTGTTTGTGAATGATAATACAATGCGGTAAAGAGATATATCCAAATTCGATTTAGATTTAAATCAATTAATTTTTTTTTATTTTAATTTGCACCACCATTAGGCACGGCGATTTTTTAAGGGAAACTGGCTGTTTTCCGCATTACACATGGAGAAAACCATGAAAACGCCCATTCACCGGCAGTCGAGTTCCGGACCGAACACCCAGTGTTCAGCGGCTTTAACCGCTTGGCCGTCGGTTGGCCTTAATTGAATCTTAAAACAATTTTTTTCCACCTAATTTCATAATGACTTTTCTAAAAATCTCAGAATTTTACTATTTGCACTATTGGATAGAACGGAAAAGAAATCTGTTAATTGAAATTCTTGTAAAATTTGTAACATAATTTCTGATTTTTTTGGCGAATTTTCGAAAATCGCTCGATTTTTTCCACTGTTTGACGTCTATGGTTTTTAAGTTTCAACGTCTAAAAAATCTACCTGCTATAAAGCTTTGTAATATTTGCAGATTATTAAAAAAAGATCTTCGAACTCTTTTAAATAAAAATGATAGAAATATGTTGACAAGGCGATCTTCCCTTTAAAAGGAGAACCTGGCGTATAAGCAGAAGGTAAAATTGCGTTGCGGTTCTTCTTTGGAGTCACGTGATTTAGCTGTTTCAAATTTTAAGTTGAAATTTGAATTTTCTCACATATTTTTAAGGATAAACTAAAAATATCATAATTTTACAGTTTGAACTATCAGATGGGGCTGAAATAAAATGTTTACATGAAGTTTATATGAAATTTTAACGTACTCTCTCTCTCTCTCTCTCTCTTTTTTTTTTTTTTTTTTTTGTCAAACTTGCTAAATTCCTTCGACCTGTGTATACAGTGGAATTTGCCAAAGGGAGGGATGATCCATAGATGGCTTTTAAAGGAAATGTCTCGCATCTACGTTACACATAGGGAAAAACACGAAAATGCCCATGCAGCCAGCCCGTCACCGGTATTCGAACTCCGAACCGATCTAAAAATGTTCAGCGACTTATTTATCTTTTATTATTACCACTCCAATGGCGGGCTTTGCAATCGATTGATGTAAAAAAAAATTATTGAAAGTAAAAACATAATTAGTCGTGTTAGAAAAATATTTTTCAGTTGAATAATCATTGAGTCTAAAAACATGAAAAAAAAAATTAAGGAAAAAAAAAAACTTTCACTTTAAACATATAAAATCATTAATGAAATAAAAGGAGCAAATAATTTACCATATGGTTTAAAGGAAACAGAACATTAAATAATTCTCTTTAAAAAATTCTTCTACAGTTTTAAATCACGAATAATAAGAGTGTACGCAATTAGATAATGAAATCTATTAATCAAATTGCATTCTATAAAAATATAAGACATTAACTTTGTCATGCACATACTCTATGCTACCGACCAAACCTGCCGGAAGAACAGACTTATAGCTGAAAGGAGAGAGGAGAAAATCTGGCAACGAAAAGAAGAAGCGTGCTTGATGCGAGAAGGACGGCATGCTCGTGAAAAAAAAATTTGAAATTAGTTTGGCTGTATTTCGAGAGAAAAGATAGCTTGTTTTTTTTTTTTTTTTTTTTTTTTTTTAAGAGCTGAGGGATGCAATGTATTACTTGTGCGTTTGATGTAAATGTGAATAAAAGCAATACTTTGTGAAAAGTTAATGTGTATTTACAAAATTAAAAAATATAGCTCATGTTATTCTTAAAACTGCATAAGTGTCCCAGTTTATTTCCTGCAAATAGAGTCGACTAATAACATTCATAAGTGGATGGAAAACGAACCGACAAAAGATGAAATTGATCAAAGGATCGATTTATGACATGGATCAGAAGGATTCGATTATATGACAGTGGTGGCAGCTGGTCGGATGTATATTTGTCGACTCGGAAAAAGCTCAAGTGAATTCCTTACGAATGCTACGAAGCTTATTAAGTGGAATAGTTATCTTCTACCAGGTTCTCTCGTTAAGTGATTTATTTATGTTTTTGTGTTTATGAAAAATTTGCTGTTAATGTAAAGGTACACAAGTATTTTATAAGACAAAAATTATCAGTGTGATTATCATATAAGACTTGAATTACCTTGCAAGTGCATTATCTTTTATTATATGAGTGAATGAATGATCATTAATTTAAGTAATGCTTGTTTTTATTTATGAGATATGATTGCATTAATTTTCAAATGCTTATATATAAACATACATGTTTTTTTTATTTATTGATTTTGTTTGATGTTTGTGCATATTTAATGCAGATACCATGTGTTTATGATTCAACAGAAGTTAAGGATTTAACTTAATGTATATTTTATGTAAAGAGAATTTAGTTTTAATTTTCTGTTATTTTAATTAAGTTGAACATAAAGTCGCATAATGTCATTTTTGGCCAAATCTAGAAAGGCTGATCTAGTCGCCCTTGCACAAGAGTTTGGTGTTGAAGTGTTGCCTACATTTAGGATTTTGACTTGAGGGAAAAGATTCTTGCTAGTGAAAGCTATGAGGAGCAAGTAGCAAAGGATCTTCTGAGTGTTATCATTACAGATAGGGAGGCAAAAGAGGAGAAGGAAAGGCAGGAAAGAGAATATAAACTGAAGTTAGAGGCAGAGGAGCGGATTGCCATTGAGAAGTATAAGGTAGATTGTCGGGATCGTTACTCGAATAGGAGTACTACACCCGAACGGGGGGAGAATGGGAAGGAAAGATCAGTAGAAGAGTTAACGAGGACAATCAGATTATTGACAGTAAAGGTTCCAAGTAAAGCAGATGGCTGGGACTATTTCTTCTCTAGTTTAGAAAGAGCGCTTATGTCAATGAAAGTGTCCCTGATGAGCATAAGGCCAAAATTTTGATTTACCTTTTGGGAGATAAAGCGGCAAATTTATTAACATTGATAAGCGAGGATAAGTATGGGAATTATGAGGAAATAAAGGAAACTGTGTTGAAAGAATTTAAACCTTCACCTCAGGTATGCCTGGAGAATTTCAGAAAGGCAAGACGAAGTTCAGAAGAGACCTTTGGCCAGTTTTCTACTAGAGTTACTGCCATGTGGAAAATTATGTGAAATCAAGGGGGGTGACAGACTTTGAAGGTCTTAATCAGTTGGTGGTAGCGGACAAAATCTACCAGACCCTTGATACGGAAACTGCAGTACACATAGGTATAGGCAGGGAGACTCGTGGTTCAAGCCAAGAGAGCTTGGAAAGGAGTGTGACATATTCTTTGCGGCTAAAGGGAAGTCCTACAACGTACGTAGGGAAGCTTGTGAAACTAAGATTTTAAATCAGGCAGTAGGTGAGAAACCTAAGGTCGAAGAAAGACGAGGCAGTCGGCATACGTCAGAAACCATACGGAAAACCACACGGAACGTTAAAGGTTTAACATGTTTTGTATGTGGTTCAGCTTCACATTTTAAAAGGCACTGTCCTCAGATTAAAGGTTCTAGGCAGTATAACAGAAATGAGGAAAAGGATAAAGCCAGGGTAAACTGGGTAAAGAAAGATCAGATAATAATATCCTAGAGGACAAAGTTGTGGTAGCTCGTGTGGATCCTTTGAGGAAGTCAGGGGATGTAAACGACTATAAGCTGTGTGAGTTGAAAAGGGTTCCTATTAGTGTGAATGGAACAATAGGGAAGGCCCTAGTTGATTCAGGAACAGAAATTACGGTGGTTAAGAAAGAGTTAACCAAAAGTCTCCAACTGAAGGAAGGATCGAGTATATATTTGAAAGGTATATTTGGTCCAGCTGTTAAATTCCCTTTAGTAAGCATTCCACTGAGTATTACTTTAGGAGAAAGTGCCAATGTTACACATCAGAGATTTTGTGTGCAGTTGCAGAATCGCTGGCAGAGGATGTTGTTGCTTCATCCGGAAGTTCACGCATTTTACCATGTTAGGATCGGGGTATACGACACAGGTGAAGGGGTGGAAAACTTACCTGAAGAAACCACAAACATCCCAGAGGTTAGCAGAAAGGAAAAGTATGTGAAGGTAAACACAGGGAAGGTAAATAGAAGGAATAAAATCAATGGAAGATGGAATCAAGTGAAAGCCCAAGAACCTCAGCCAGGAAGACTATGTACAGCGGATGTATTTAGAAGAGAGCAGGAGACTTGTGAATCTCTGGTAGGAGCATGGGAGAATGCTCAGAAAGGAAAGGGAATTATTATACAGTGGATAACTTTCTCTTTCATAAGGACAAAATTCTTGGGGAAAGTGTGGGGGCAATTAGTTGTACCTAAGAGTCGAAGGGAGGAAGTCTTGCAGTTAGCACATTGCTCGGTGTTTAGTGGCCACATGGGGTAAAGAAACTGTGGAGAGAATTTGATACTCTTTTTATTGGGAAGGTCTGAGGTTAGACGTTCAGAATTTTGCGAGGCATGTAAAGAGTGCCAGTTGACTAGACCAATTAAAACTGTTGATAGGACACCAATCACCCCAGTAACGAGGCCAGATCTGCCCTTTC